TAATGCTACTGTAGTTTTATACGTATATATATATATATGACAATATTGATATCATATATTTACATGTTTTTTTTAAGCTTCAGTCATGCTAAAACTGTTTATTAGACTAGTCCAGCTAATGCACAGCACATTTTAAAGTAAAAATCTTTCCCAAAAAGCTCTTTTAATTGAAAATTGGGACTTTTGTTTCTTCCAGCCACTTTACAAAGGCCTTAAGTGTTACAGGCCTTTTTTAATGATCAAATTATCATCTTTTACTCATGTCTTTCCAAACCTATATGACTTTCTTTTTACTGCCGAAAACAAATAAATATTTTGAGAAATGTCATACAATGGAAGTCGGTGTTAATGCAGTCATTGGGCTCCAATGTTGTTTGGTTCCCAACGTTTTTTTTCGACATATCATCTTTCATGTTCTGCAGAAGAAGTAAAGTCATACAGGTTTGTTACAGCATGAGGGCAAGCAAATGATGACAGATTTTTCTTTTTTGGGTGGACTATCCCTTTAAGTTTAAATAAAGGTTTAAATAACATTTAAGAATGTGCAAGTTGTGAAAGGGAACATATCATAAAGCAATACTTTTATTTTAATTTGCTGTATCTTTAACAAAAAGCTACAATACAAGTTTTAAAAAAGGACTGAAAAAAAAAGATTTGTCATGACATATTAACTATATATTGGAGAGTTTTTGCCATTCATATGATGAAGTAATATATTGATGTTTGTAATCTCTCCTCTCATTCTCTCAGTGGACGACAGTGCCATCATAGACTGCCAGTTCAGTGATTTCTACCATACTCCACCTGAAGGCTTTGAAAAGATTCTGTTTGAACAGCAGATCTTTTGAATTGTCATCTGTGTGCAGACACACACATATTGTCGAGTTGAACTGTGTGTGTGGCAGCACGTGGTTACGATCTCTTTCAATGTTGCTTCTGCCTTTGCTGTTACTACTGCTGCTCATGTCCTTTTGGAAGACAAACCAGGCTTTATCCCGTCTGTGTGTGTGTGTGTGTGTTTGGACACACACAAATGAGAGAGAATCTACCCAGAAAACACTTTACATAAGCACTGAAGACAATTACTGATATCTATTTTCTGTAGTGGGTGATATTGATAAACTGAGCTTATTCTTTTATTTAATGACTATGTACAATGATCAGCAGCTGATCAGCTTTGTGTTTTTCATTTATGTAGAAATTATTGATAATGTATCGGTGACTTTATATATCCACACAAATATCAGCTTTCTTGAATGAACCTATTGTATTTGCACTAGTTACATGTGATTGAGAATCAAACCAAACCTCTCTTATTCTATTGATTTTTGATGAGTCTGTTACAGTCGTTTGCCTTTCATCTGAACTAGGCATATTTATAAATTGCCAACAATATCAGTTTACAGTGTATTTTAACATTTTACCTCTGTGATCTCTATTGCACATAGTATTAAACAAGTGACTGAGCAGATTTCAGAGTGTCAAATAGACACTGAAATGTTTCAGACATGCAGTAATCTGTTTAACATGATCATTTTTGCTGCCCTAGCTTATATCTTACCAAACTCCTTCAAATGTTAGACTGAAGGTAAACATTTCTTTTTGCTTCAGATGTGTGTTTTGCTCCACTGATGTCCTGGACCTGAAATAATTCATATCTGCACAGTAACATTAATTACAACTATGAACCTAATTTTACTGGTTACTGCAGAAATGTTATGTACCTTTAACACTAAAACCACTCATGCATTAATTTTATTCACAGTTGAATACACAACCAATTCTTAAGTTTATTGTTAACAGCATGGCCATGCAGCTACCTAAAGGCAATGTGCTTTTCAGAAAAGGTGCTCTGAAAAAGTTTTGTCCTGTAAGTATGACTTGTGAAGTCTGACTTTCAGTCCCCCAAAAAGCTTGAAAAGATTCTCTATGTACACTGTCTTATGGTACATTCCACAAGTGCTGTATTTAATAAACCTAAGTATTGTCTCTATGTCAAAGACCTGTGTTATAGTGTGAAATGACAATGACTTCTAACCAAATAAAATATAGACAATCAAGCACCTCTACAAAAACAAATTGTTATATTTAGTTAAAATTCTAAAAGTGTCCCTAGATCACCTTCCCTAGATGGGGAAGTCGTGGCCTAATGGTTAGAGAGTCGGACTCCTAACCCAAAGGTGTACCGGCAGGGATTGTAGGTGGGGGGAGTGAATGTCCAGCGCTCTCTCCCACCTTCAATACCACGACTGAGGTGCCCTTGAGCAAGGCACCGAACCCCCAACTGCTCCCCGGGCGCCGCAGCATAAATGGCTGCCCACTGCTCCGGGTGTGTGTTCACTGCTGTGTGTGTGCACTTTGGATGGGATAAATGCAGAGCACTAATTCAGAGTATGGGTCACCATACCTGGCCACATGTCATGTCACGTCACTTCAGACTTCACTTCACAGATCTTTGGTTGTTAATTGGAGGAATAATGTGGGTTAGCAATAGTACTAATTCCATATATGGCCTGTTTATTGCATATAGAGAGAGAGACATAGATAGATTTATTAGTAAATAAATTGCGTTCTATTCATGTGCCACAGAACCATTCAGCAGCATCAGCCAGTAATATACAAAACATGGATGGGTGAGTAACTCTTTGTAAACCCCCCAATGCAGACTCTCTTATTGTTCCTATTGTCTTGATTTCTCAGCAGGTCTAGACATTACTGATGACAGATAGTCTTTAAAAAAAGGCTCCTTCTAAGATCTTACATCCTACTATTTTTAAGTCTTCACTGCTTTGGTGGTTCTAAAATGAGAGAAAAAAAACACCACTGAATAAAGGTAAAGGCACCCTTTTATAATAACGGTCATGAATAAGTAACACATTCCATTATATTTATTATCTAACTGAGATAATGAAAATACATTCAAATAAATTTTATACAACTATTTAATACATTTTTATATCTGAATGTACATGAACTGATCTAGGCTACTTGCGTGGGTTTTATTAAAGCGTGTTATGTTTTCGAAATATTTATTTAAAAATATTATTATAATATTTGTCAATTCACTGAAAACTGTTTAGACAAAGTTTGGACTTCATCGCCAAAGCGCAGCTTTACAGGTCTGAAAGATTACGGAAATGTTTTGGTGAATCTCTTAAAGCTGTTAATATGTGTCTGCTGCCACTTTTTATATCTGAATGTACATGAACTGATCTAGGCTACTTGCGTGGGTTTTATTAAAGCGTGTTATGTTTTCGAAATATTTATTTAAAAATATTATTATAATATTTATGTCAATTCACTGAAAACTGTTTAGACAAAGTTTGGACTTCATCGCCAAAGCGCAGCTTTACAGGTCTGAAAGATGACGGAAATGTTTTGGTGAATCTCTTAAAGCTGTTAATATGTGTCTGCTGCCAGCTAGTATCCATATCGCGAATAATATAATTTTTTTCTCTCTCTTATGAAGGCACACTAGTAAGTAAAAGCTTTGACTAGCCCTTCAGGCACGTTTGTGGTTGACCTGAAGCCTCATTAGAGGCTGTTTGTTGCTGTGTGCTGATTGGCTGTTCAGTCTCCTGCTCTGATCTGTTTACAGATCTCACTTCCCCCAGTCAACAGAAAAAATACACAACAGACACATACTGCACACTCAAACTCCCCTTTAAACGTGTCAAAAGCTGTTTTAAAATACAATCCAAAATACTAAGAACGACATTCTGTAAAGAATGTTTTTTTACAGTTGCAACTGTTTTATTTAGAAAATGACAACAGAAGAATGATCATATCAAAACGGCATATGCAGACATATTTCATAATATTTCTGTCACTGACATACTGTAAACCCCCATTAAAAAAACATATAACATAGGCAAACTGCAGAAATGTTCTGGACTTAAAAAATAAACATTGAAAAAATTCATTGCTAAAAATAATAAAACATCTAAAGTCTGTTAGATTGTTTATATTAAACATCTAGTACAGCTTTGGCATCCCTCAGTGCTGCTTCTTTCCTCCGCAAATCCCGTTCCTCTTTCTCCAGGTCTGGAAACACAAAGAACAAAGTCATTCTCATGAAACACTGCCATTTAAGTCCCCATAACAATTCTAATTTCTAATATGTGATTCATTACAAGGCACAAAGAAATGTACTCATTTATATACTTATCATTTGAATGGATAAATTCAAAGCTTACTGTTAAAGGGTTGAAATAACGTAACGCTTTAGATTTAGGTGGTTACAATGAAATGCTTTACCTTGTTCCAGCTGAGTAATAATGCAAGGCAGCCGTCCAGATGCCCCCAACACTTTGAGAGCAACATCATAGTCTGTGGAATATTTAATAGCTTTTCAGTTGTATAAACAAAAACCCAGCATTTTATTGAGGGTTAAAGAACAGGGATATTTCAGGTTCAATACGAGTTCAGCTCAGCTAATAGTGTTTGTGACAATATAACAGTATAATGACTATAGATCAGTGATCAACACATACACAAAAAATGACCCGTTCCTCTTTTTACTTAAAAAAGGCAAATATCATGGTTAAAGTGAGAAACAGTATTTTAACATTTGTGGATTGGCCTCTGTCACTTCCATCTTAAGTTACTCACTGCAACTCAGATTGTTTTTTAAAAAAGGGACAAGTCAAAATGTATGTGTTTGATAGCAAGATTATGCCACAAATGCTGTTGATTGAGCTTAAAGGTGAAGTTTATAATATTTTTGGTTAAAACATCTCTCAACCCATTTTATTGTTCATTGACTATTATAAGTATTCCATTCATGGGTTTATCTCCCCAAAAGGGTAAACATTGAGCCTCCCAGGCACCAAAAAACATTTAGTGTGGTCCACTTAAATTCGTCAGTGTCTTTCCAGGTCAACCTATAGCAATAGTTTGGACTGTGGCTACTAGGGGTGTGCGATATTGACAAAAAATAATATCTGGATATTTTCTGGGATTTTATCGATAACGATAATTAGACAATATTTTGCTGAGTGTGCTATTGTGCTGGTATCTTAAGGACTGCCGTGGACAGCTGACTCCTAACGTTTTTGATATTCTTCGTATTCTGTATGGTGGTGGTCAGTTCACACTGATAGAAATTAATATTTTCCAATAAGTTTAAACTGATTTTTACATTTTATGGGCATTTTTACCTTTATAAAGCCATTTTTTTTCTAAAAGTGTCCATATCAGTGAATTATGAAATCAGTATCAACAAAATTCATCTTTGCAATGCAGAGGAAACACAGAATATGCATCTGAAGTGGCATTTAGATGCATTTACACACTGTTTAATGCAGGACATGAATGCATTTAACCTGCAATTACAAATGCATAAATAATGTTTTGATATAGGCCTATTAAACATAAAATGTTGAATACTGATATTTGAAGAATTTAAATAATAAAAAGATACTTTAAATGTAAAATTAAAACCACTAGTAGGTGGCAGCAAGTCACTGTTAATAAGCGAGTCATTGCGATTGAACCGAATCATTTAAACGGTTGATTCATTCAAGAACGAAACACCGTCATGTTGCTCAGAGACACAAAACAGCCGGTCATGAATAAGTAACACATTCCATTATATTTATTATCTAACTGAGATAATGAAAATACATTCAAATAAATTTTATACAACTATTTAATACATTTTTATATCTGAATGTACATGAACTGATCTAGGCTACTTGCGTGGGTTTTATTAAAGCGTGTTATGTTTTCGAAATATTTATTTAAAAATATTATTATAATATTTATGTCAATTCACTGAAAACTGTTTAGACAAAGTTTGGACTTCATCGCCAAAGCGCAGCTTTACAGGTCTGAAAGATTACGGAAATGTTTTGGTGAATCTCTTAAAGCTGTTAATATGTGTCTGCTGCCAGCTAGTATCCATATCGCGAATAATATAATTTTTTTCTCTCTCTTATGAAGGCACACTAGTAAGTAAAAGCTTTGACTAGCCCTTCAGGCACGTTTGTGGTTGACCTGAAGCCTCATTAGAGGCTGTTTGTTGCTGTGTGCTGATTGGCTGTTCAGTCTCCTGCTCTGATCTGTTTACAGATCTCACTTCCCCCAGTCAACAGAAAAAATACACAACAGACACATACTGCACACTCAAACTCCCCTTTAAACGTGTCAAAAGCTGTTTTAAAATACAATCCAAAATACTAAGAACGACATTCTGTAAAGAATGTTTTTTTACAGTTGCAACTGTTTTATTTAGAAAATGACAACAGAAGAATGATCATATCAAAACGGCATATGCAGACATATTTCATAATATTTCTGTCACTGACATACTGTAAACCCCCATTAAAAAAACATATAACATAGGCAAACTGCAGAAATGTTCTGGACTTAAAAAATAAACATTGAAAAAATTCATTGCTAAAAATAATAAAACATCTAAAGTCTGTTAGATTGTTTATATTAAACATCTAGTACAGCTTTGGCATCCCTCAGTGCTGCTTCTTTCCTCCGCAAATCCCGTTCCTCTTTCTCCAGGTCTGGAAACACAAAGAACAAAGTCATTCTCATGAAACACTGCCATTTAAGTCCCCATAACAATTCTAATTTCTAATATGTGATTCATTACAAGGCACAAAGAAATGTACTCATTTATATACTTATCATTTGAATGGATAAATTCAAAGCTTACTGTTAAAGGGTTGAAATAACGTAACGCTTTAGATTTAGGTGGTTACAATGAAATGCTTTACCTTGTTCCAGCTGAGTAATAATGCAAGGCAGCCGTCCAGATGCCCCCAACACTTTGAGAGCAACATCATAGTCTGTGGAATATTTAATAGCTTTTCAGTTGTATAAACAAAAACCCAGCATTTTATTGAGGGTTAAAGAACAGGGATATTTCAGGTTCAATACGAGTTCAGCTCAGCTAATAGTGTTTGTGACAATATAACAGTATAATGACTATAGATCAGTGATCAACACATACACAAAAAATGACCCGTTCCTCTTTTTACTTAAAAAAGGCAAATATCATGGTTAAAGTGAGAAACAGTATTTTAACATTTGTGGATTGGCCTCTGTCACTTCCATCTTAAGTTACTCACTGCAACTCAGATTGTTTTTTAAAAAAGGGACAAGTCAAAATGTATGTGTTTGATAGCAAGATTATGCCACAAATGCTGTTGATTGAGCTTAAAGGTGAAGTTTATAATATTTTTGGTTAAAACATCTCTCAACCCATTTTATTGTTCATTGACTATTATAAGTATTCCATTCATGGGTTTATCTCCCCAAAAGGGTAAACATTGAGCCTCCCAGGCACCAAAAAACATTTAGTGTGGTCCACTTAAATTCGTCAGTGTCTTTCCAGGTCAACCTATAGCAATAGTTTGGACTGTGGCTACTAGGGGTGTGCGATATTGACAAACTGGATATTTTGGATATTTTCTGGGATTTTATCGATAACGATAATTAGACAATATTTTGCTGAGTGTGCTGTATCTTAAGTATCTTAAGGACTGCCGTGGACAGCTGACTCCTAACGTTTTTGATATTCTTCGTATTCTGTATGGTGGTGGTCAGTTCACACTGATAGAAATTAATCTTTTCCAATAAGTTTAAACTGATTTTTACATTTTATGGGCATTTTTACCTTTATAAAGCCATTTTTTTTCTAAAAGTGTCCATATCAGTGAATTATGAAATCAGTATCAACAAAATTCATCTTTGCAATGCAGAGGAAACACAGAATATGCATCTGAAGTGGCATTTAGATGCATTTACACACTGTTTAATGCAGGACATGAATGCATTTAACCTGCAATTACAAATGCATAAATAATGTTTTGATATAGGCCTATTAAACATAAAATGTTGAATACTGATATTTGAAGAATTTAAATAATAAAAAGATACTTTAAATGTAAAATTAAAACCACTAGTAGGTGGCAGCAAGTCACTGTTAATAAGCGAGTCATTGCGATTGAACCGAATCATTAAATGGTTGATTCATTCAGGAACGAATTCACCGTTATTTGCTCAGAGACTCAAAACAGTGCTGTGTTTGGAATTATTTTTTTGTTGTCAAAACACCGCATAAACAGGAAATATGGTGTCTAAAACATAAGTCTCTTATTTAACTTCTTGTTTATTGAAATCAATAATCACATTTGTAATCATGGTAATTTTTAGAGAAAAAAAGGCACTCTTTGTTTGAAATTGATGAACTATATGAAGTGGTATAAATATATACATTTTCTGCCCCCATGTCTTGAATTTGTGATCATTCTAAGGCTGCACGATAAATCACATGCGATGTCTCTAGACTTCACCTAATGTTTGTGTGCGCTCTGTAGGTGTTTTGAATGGTTTTTGCAAAATACTCGATAATGTCAAATCGCACATCGTTAAAACAAGAATTACGATATTATCGCAGACGATATATATCGCACACCCCTAGTGGCTACTTTAGCAGACAAAGCAAGAGGCTTTATAGCTAGTGTGTGGGACCATCGCTGACACGTTACATGGGAAAAGAAATTTAGATTGGTTTGTTAACAGCAAGCCAAAATTTAAAAAGACTTGCCTAAATACACAAAGACAGACAACCAGGTAAGAGGAGGGTAAACATTGGTAATGCTTTTACAAGATGGAGAAATTTGATTCAGTGTTCGGGTTTCAATCGAGAGTTTCTAAACTCCAGTTTTTGCCAATTTACTGTCAAGTCCCAGATAAAATAAGTTCAGTCATGACAACTCTCTGAAAGTTTAGCATGGTAATGTACATGACAATGTATTTGCTTCAGCAAATACATCCACAAACATAGCAGATCAATACAGGTGGAGCTGGGGGAGGTGGAAGGTTTCTGAAGCGCAATGCAACTGCTACAGCAAACACTAGCCAAGTATTTGAATGTTGAGCAGCGAGCTCATTGGCTGCTGATGCAAAAAAGGACCAATCAGCTGCACCATGTGATAATGATGTCATTATGTCATATTTAGTTAGACCTATCAGACTACGCCATCTAGAGTTTCATGACAGAACTTTGGATATATCGTAAGGATATGAATAATCGTAAGGGTTTGAGGTTGTTTGAAAACATTCCTTATTTTTGTAATTCCAATATGTGACGCTAGTAGCGCAGAAGCCTCTTTGCCTTTAACTTGTATTGAACCCAGAATATTTCACAAAACTGGCTTGAATCAAGGCTGTTCTCACCTTGGTGGCTGGCTTTCTGTGACTGCACTCTTTCTCCTAGGCTGCTCAGCTGAGACACAAGCTCTGAGAAGATTTCGTTAGTCCACCCGGCCTCATTACATCTGGTCCAAAATATGGTGGCACTGGACTCAGATTTCACTGTGGCACCCACATCAGAAGCATCTGCTGCAGCGAGACGACCTGGTGATGAAGAAACCCCTGTCGAAGGGACTGCTGGAACGTCTACAGTGGGCCTTGAATGCTGAGGTGACCCGGGTTGACCCGAGTGATCACAGATGAAATAGTCCAGGGTAGGCAGAGAGTAAATGGTACCTGGTGAGACAGGGTCAGTGGTTGGAGCTCTGGGTGGTGGAGAAGTTCTGTTTGTGGATGGTGTTTCCTTTTGTTCAGGGGCAGTGACAGACCCAGGTGAGGTAGACACAGCCGCTGGGGCTGCGCCGGCAGGTGAAGAAGGTTCTAGACTGTGCTCTGAAACACAAGAGATACTGTTTAAAAAAAAAAAGATTTCCACAGGTTTACGCCTCATTGAAGTGACAGCTGCAGGACAATAGAAGAGAGATGAACACACCTGATTCTGCAAAGAGACCAGAGTTCAAAATAACGCTACAGGGAATAGTGATATGGTACGTTTTTGATGGTAACATACTCTGAGACTCTTCCTGAGACAGAGAGAGAGAACAATGTAAGCAAGTACACTGTTAGCTGCAAGCAAGTTAAAAGAGCGACTTGAGTATAGTGGTGAGTATAATACACCATTCAAAAGTTTGGGTCAGAAAGTTTTTTTTTAACAAAAGAAATTAATTATTTTATTCAGCAAGGATGCAACTTTGCCCTCAGAAGAATAAATTACATTATAAGATTTATTACAATAGCAAACAGTTATCTTAAATTGTAATAATATTTCACAATTTTACTGCATTTTTGATTACATAAATGTAGCCTTGGTGAGCATAACAGACTTCTTTTAGAAACATTAAAAATTATTTTGAACAGAAGTGTAACTTTACTGGATGGTGATGAGCCTTATTGTAATAGTTTATTAAAAAAGTGTTTTATTAAAAAAAACACTATGGTGCAAGATATTAAAAAAAAATGTAATTCTTGTCACTTTTGGTGTCAATTTTGCCCAAGAGGCCTGGTTAATTTGTTCCTCTGCATTTAATGTTGCTGGCTTGACAGTTTGTTACAATTCCTAGCTATGGAAAAGTTTTCCAAAAAGGTATGGGGGAGCTTTGTTTCATTTATAGATCGTCCTCAAGCCTTGGATCTTTCTTGCCATGTATCAGACTGATATGTATGTAGCAAACAATACCTTTGTTCCGAAGTGCCTTGTGTTGTGTTTTTGTTGTCATTTTTGACATGAAAATATCAGTAAATACATCTGCTTGTTTACGGTGTGACATGAGTGTGATGTGTTGTGTAGAGAGACTCACTGAATCAATGTCGGTGTCATCGTCAGCTTCTGAAAATAATGAGATTGTTTCTTTACAGTAAGGAATGATAAATGATACTTCTCGTAATTTTTTTTTTTTTCAAAAATACAAACACATTTGTACCTGTGGTTGATGGATTAAGTTTTTCACACGGCCTGCAGATAAAGGAAAACACAAAAAGTTTCTTTACATAACAACGATTGTAAGTTTTTGCCAAAATACCATGGTACATTATGGTATTTTTGTATTTGTCTTGCTTTCAAAATGGTTCTAAATCCTAAACATACCTTGTTTTTTTAGGCACAGGAGTGGACTGCTATTAAAAGTGAACAGAGAAACACTTCATTGCTACAATTTTACTACCAAATGTTTTTAAGATTCATTTAAAATCTTTCTTTGTAAGGGTTAATTCACCCCAAAATGCCTTTTTTTGCATTCTCTCACCCTCATGTCTTTCTAAGCCTGTACGACTGACTTTCTTCAGTGGAACTAAATAAAATAATTTGAAAAAATGTCTCCGATATTTTGTCTATATTAAAAGTCAATGGGGTCAAGTCTTACTTTGAAAGCCAATACAGGCAAACAAGACTGGAACAACTTGAGGGTGAGTAAATAATGACAGAATTTTCATTTTTGGGTAAACTGTGTCTTCTAATTTGGACTGAGCAGTTTCAGTGAAGTTTAATATGATACATTGGTACATATGGACATATCAAACAGTCCAATTTTTTATGATAAGAGACTCACATTGGGCTGTTTTTGAAGCATAGAGTCCTCCAGATCTGACACCCCTGGAGCTACTACACGGTCAGTGCTGGTTGGGCTTTCATCATCTAAAACAGAGAGACACAAATGACTCATTGTTTTGATTTTAATGACTTTTTATGCAGCCCAAGAAATATCTAAAATTCATATTCCCATTCTGACAGAGAAATAAAACTAAATATACAATAAACACCGGAGTCTAGAATGCGTTTATTTTTTCCCCTTCTGGGCGTTCCCACTTTTAGCGATCTAAAAAACAAAAAACAAAACAAAACGCAGAATCATTACAATAACACTGTGATTACTAACTAGACAATATTCCATAATTAAAAGTTTTCTACAGACTACTCACCGAAACGTACATGCTCTGTACATATATGGATAACGTTTACTCTGTTATTAAATAAGATAAAAAAGACAAAATTAGAATAAGCTGTACTTTTAACCAGTATTATTTTTCAAGTAGGTTTGTCTATTTGTCTTCTAAACAAATTCTGACAAGATCATATCTGTTTGTTGATACAGTATAATTTGTTCCTTAGCATAATACAAGTAAAATGAGCATCTGTGAATACAATTCTGTAGCCACTCATCTCTGAGATAAGGCCTAATAAATGACACATTAATTTTTATTTTTTTAATTAAGTTACATTAAAGGCAGAGTAAGTGATTTCTGGTAGCCAATGTTGATATTTGAAATTACCAAAACAAACACGCCCCTACCCCAAAAGGGTCTTGCCCCTATTTTGATAGCTCCGCCCCACATATACGTACGCAACCCAGGCAACGATTAGTTCTGTGAAACAAAGCAAAACCAATGTTACACCGTGTCTACGGACGTGAGCGGCGCAGCGCAACAAATCCCCGACAGAAAACGCTTCGGTTCCCTGAGAGCGGGAACGAGACATCACGGAGATACTTCAGGAAAGGTTGGAAGGGAAGGAGTTCCCATAACGGAGAAATATCTCCGTGATGTCTCGTGAAAGCTCGAGAGGGAACTGCTGCCGGGTTCTATTTATGACGTGCTGACACAAATTTCAAATGGTTTTCAACGGTCGTTTGATCGCGTCCAGTGTAGGTAGACACGGTGTTACTCACCTATTGAGAAGAAACAAAGCAACCTCGGCGTCCGATCGCAGGCCTCCGCTCCTTGAGTTCTCTCCAGCGCTGGAAAGCTGATCCGATATTTACACGGGTCCTACTTCTTGCCTTATCGTTCCGCAGACGTTTTCCTCTTTTGTTTTTTATCCGCCATCTCTATCTTTCTGTCGCTCGGCTCGGCTAATGTCCGTCCCATGCACTCAACGCGCTCTCCTCCACATCACGAGTAGACACGCCCCTTATTGCTGATTGGCTACAAGTTTGTTTTGCTATTCGGCCCGAATCAGTTTTCTGAAATGTTTTTGAAAAATCACATACCCTGCCTTTAATTAGCTATTAAAAGGTTTATTACATTTCACATTAAACCAAGTTAAAATTTATGTTAAGAAGTGATATTTAGTGATAATAGTACAGAGCAATTTTAGTCTATTTTCTAGATGGTGATGATGACTGTACTGAGGAAAATATCAAGTGTCTTCATGTAGAGGAAAGCTGAAGTGTGTGTGTTTGTGTTCTGACCATGCCATGCAATGCTCCTGGATTGTCTGCTGATCCACAAGCCTTCTGAGCAGACGTTAAGTTTAATGAACCTAAACAAACATAAATGCATTTCATACTAGAAACGGTAACACTTTCTAATAACTTTCATTTATAAATCATAAACAAACATGATGTAATGCTTAACGGATCATTACTTCATATATATTCACATATCTAGAAATGTGAAATAATGTGCTTGTTAATGTTTACTAATAAATGTATTAAACATTACCTAATAATTAACATTTCATGTTTATTAAAATGCATACAAATGTCATTAAACTTCTAATTCATATGCTCATGCACATCTTGAAAATCTACAAATGATTTTAACAGATGTTATACAATGATTAAAAGCTTTTGTTAATGCACAACACCTTTGCTGCGGTTGAGGTGTGATACGGGTAGGGTTAGGGACAGGTTTGGTGTATGGGTAGGTTTAAGGTTGGGTAAGGGGTCAACAAGTGTACAGTGGTCAATTTGATTACTATAAGGGAACACAATTCAATCTGTTTATATTGCATTGCTTTGATAAATGAAGTATTTTCTTGAAAATTAGTTTTTTCCCCCCCTCCAGTTGATGTATGACTCCAGGAATATTCTGTTTAATGATACACAATAGTATACTAATATATGTGTTGAGGTGATAAAAACATGTTTTGCACCCCAATTACAATGTGTCAGCATTTAGCTAAACTTAACTAACCACCCTTTACACAAACATTGTTAAAGTAGCTAAAAGTCCAGTGCCAATAAAGATACTAAAAAAATTAGTAAATGTTTATAAACATTTACAAATGATGAATAGTCTCCACTTTAGATTGGGTACTGCAAAAACATGAACAAATGATAAATAGATTTAAGATGTGCAAATAGTAGAAGTCAACACAACAAACAAAGACCAAATATATGACCTTTACAGACTGTCATTGTGAGTTAATGAATATATTAACATGAATAGTTTGTGAAGTGCATATAAGCTATATTTTCACAACATTTGTTAAATGTAAAAATGAGCATTAGCTAAAATGTGAACTGAAGTTTAATGACATTTGTAAGCATTCAAAAGTACATGAACAAATCATTTGTATATTTTTAAAACGCATTGAAAGTTTAATGACATTTGTAAGCATTCAAAAGTACATGAACAAATCATTTGTATATTTTTAAAACGCATTGAAAGTTTAATGACATTTGTAAGCATTCAAAAGTACATGAACAAATCATTTGTATATTTTTAAAACGCATTGAAAGTTTAATGACATTTGTAAGCATTTCAATTTACATTAAATAATGATATGTTAATCATTTGGTAATGTTTAATAAGTTCATTAGTTGACATTAACAAGGACATTGTCTCATATTTCTAGATATGTAAATATATATTAAGTAATGATTAGTTAAACATTATATAATGTTTGTTAATGATTTATTAATGAAAGTTATTATAAAGTGTTACCGAAATAAAAAATATGACCCTTTACTTACACACACTGTGTTTATTTGTATCTGTGGTTGATGGACTGGGCTTTGCACAGGGTCTGTAAATAGACAGAGAAACTCGTTTAAGGAACTTGGAAAATAATTTTTTTGTCAGTACAATGGACGACAACAGTCTTAATCACATCTCGTCCTAGAACATGTTTCAGGCTGGATACTTTCTGTGGATTAATAAAGGTCAGCATACCTTTTACTTTCAGGATCAGGAGTTGACGGCTATTGAAATTAAAAAGAGAAAAATTACAACAATAATACTAACAAGTTTTAAAGGGGTCATATGATGCGATTTCAAGTTTTCCTTTCTCTTTGGAGTGTTACAAGCTGATTGTGCATAGATAAGATCCCTGAAGTTGCAAAGACTAAAGTATCAAAACCAAAGAGATATTCTTTATCAAAGTTAAGACTCTGCCACGCCCCCCTAAAACGGCTCATTCTAACACGCCCCCACATATCTACATCACCATGTGGAAATATTTGCATAATGCGCCCAAATGATCACGCAAAGAAAGAAGGCGTGGTTTCAAGTAACCGCAGTTAGTGTTGAAGCAACATGTCAGGGAGACGCTGTGTTTCTAGGCAAAAGCAAAATCACTTTATTTGGCCTTCCGGAAGTAGATGCAATTAGGAATCATTGGTTAAGATTTATTTACAACAGAACAGCACAACCCAGATGTTCGAATTTGTGCAACGCATTTTATGGACGACAGTTTTTTTTTAACCTAGAAGAGTACAAGGCTGGCTGTGCACA